CAAAAATGAAATATCTTCAGGCGATTTCAGAAGACGATGATAATTTGTTTTATAATAGCAGAAACTAGTCTGACAAATGATTTATATGTCGCTTTAAACGCCGAAGTCTAAAGTAGAAGGTGGATAATAATAAAATTCATTATTTATTCTGTTCTGATTCACTACGTAAACTCATTAACACTGCAGAAAAAAAATCCTCACAATCTAAAATCTGTGAGATCAGCTTCACGACTAATAAGTCAATTAATCAACTAACGATAGACGATAATGCTCATTAAACGAAATTAAAATAGATGAATTACTCTTTGACTGGGTAGGACGACTCCAAACTCTTAAGGGCCACATTAATATCAATCCCCGAAGAGTATTCACTGTGATTCATGCATCGTATTAAGCAGGTGCAATGGAGGAGTTCAAGTTTCAGAAAAGAGGAACCGTTTTGTCTGCTCAGAAGTCTATATCAGTGAGCACTACGAGGAGACAGCAGTGTTTGACATTCAACGCTTTTGAAATTTTCCAAAATCTGGAACTAGCTGTTCCATTTCGCAATTGAAAAACATGGCTAAGACTGAATGGTTTCTTTAAGACTTAATCAGAATAATCCAGTAAAACAATACCAGCTTCTTTAGCCGGCTTAGTAATAACCAATTTAAACTTATTTTGGGTCATCCTATAAATTAATTTTCACGTTTGTCTTTTAAATCCCCAGAATTCTGATTATGTCTTAAAGATGTATGTCATTCTTGATGACACATCAAATCAATATTTGAAATTAGGTCCAGTGGGGAGATCCATGATTCTACTGCTTCAATTGAAGCTAAGTTTCAAAGACGTAGGTCAAGAATGGATTAATCTCTTCTGAAATTTCTGGATTTGACCTAATGGGTCTATTCATCCTCGTCTTTATGGGCTACCTAAAATCGATAAGGATGGAGTCCCATTACGATCCATCTTGTCTATGATTTGGGTCCTCCAAGCATAAAGTCGTTAGTTGGCTCTCTTCAGTGCTACAACCGCTATTGTCACACTTTAGTACACTTTGTATTAAAGATTCCTTCTTTGTAGAAACTAGACGTAGTCCCTCTTGAAATGGTGGGTTCATGTGTTCTTTTGATATATGCTTCTTGTTTACTTGTGTCCCCTTATTTGAGACAATTGAAATTTGTTATGATATGTTATATCATAGCTCTTTGTCACCTCCAGATTTTCCTGAGTGTGTTTGTTGATTTTATGAAGTTCGACACCTCATCTGTTGAATTTATTTTTGATAATATTTATCGGCAGATTGATGGTGTAGTAATGGGTTCTCCTTTTGGTCCTGCTCTAGCTAATATTTTGTCGGTTTTCATTAGGTATCTTTATTTTCTCGTATTGATCGTCCTCTTATGTAATATCGTTGTGTGGATGGTACTTTTTGCCTCTTTCATAATGAGACTGAAACCGACTTATTTTTTACCTTCTCTGTTCACTCTTCGCTTAAGTTTAATGTAGAAAAGGAGTCTAATTGCTGTCTTTCCGTTTCGGATGTTCTTGTCCATAGGACTTCAGACAAGTTTCTGACTTTTGTTTTTTAGGAAAGCTACTTTTTCGGGACTCTATACACGTTGGGACTCTTTTTTGTTCCCGAAAGTGTAAGATTACTCTAATTAAGACCCTTATCCATAGGCCTCTTATGATTTGTTCCGAGGGCTTTCTAGGCGGGGAAATTGATTTTAAGATGACACTTTCAAAAATGGATATCTTTTAGATGTTTTTGATGATGTTATTCTTGATGTCATTAATAATTTTCATAAGGATAAGCCGCATGTAGTTAACGAATGTCATGATTATTTGCGTCTTGCCTTTATTGGTTCAGAGGGTGAGTCTTTGGCTGAGTGAATTTCATTTACGATCAACAGTTGTTATTTTTCTGCTAATGTTTGATTTGTTACTCGACCCATTCTTTCTTCTATTCGCAAGGATTCCCCACGCCCCATCGTGTTAACTCAGTTATCTACAAATACGAATGTAGTTGTGGACATGGCTACATAGGGAGGACGTCTCAGCGTTTGGATTTCAGAATTAAACCGCATTTACCTCCCAGAAGTGTGAATCCGACCGTCAACTGGTTAATACAGCCTGGACATCTATTGCTCAACATATTCTTAATAGCAAGGGCTGTGTTACAGACTTTAGTGTAGACAGTTTCTCTATTTTGTCTCGGTCCTACAATTTATATCATCTCAAGGTCCTATATATATCAGATCCCGAAGGACTTATCTCTGTAAAGAGAGGGATTGTTTGCTGGGTCTGAATATTATTGGGCTCTAGTTTTTCTTATATACAATACAGTACGATAGACTACCCGCAATGCATCGCTGTCATGCATACTTAAACAGTCGAGGAAAAATATAGCGCACATGGCCTGATCTCTGCATTTAGCATTAAACAGACTGTCGCCTTTGGTGTTAACTTCAATATTTACTTTTATATTTACATACGCCCTATCCCTGATATTGAGCACTTTAACCCATACATATATCATATCTTCAAAATAATATATATATATATATATATATATATATATATATATATATTAGGAAGGAACAATCGTAATTTCGCATTTAAATTTAAATTACAAGGCATATTGCTGTAAATTTAATAACTAAAAACAATCGGTTTCATCCCAGTTTATCAAGTTGTTGAGAGCCTTAGACTCAACATGAACGCCTACATCAGGTGCCTCGAGGAGGTATTTCTGCCATGAGTCAAGAAGGTGGCATTTGGATAAACCTATGTCTGGAAAAAGGACTCTGCATCATGCCACATAAGCATGAGAACCCAATCATGGCTGTCAGACAATTTCTACGACCAAATGACCCCTTACATCTGGCCACATAATTCCCTAGACAGCACCCCTTATGTGATGGACGCAGTTGTGCGAGAGACACCAAAGCTGAACTGAAGCCAAGGATTAGGGCAACATTCACCAACTAAAAACAAGGAGAGTGTCCAGAGGAGTTGCAGGAGATTCCGAAGTCATCTGGATGCCGTGGTTGAAACTAATGGCGATTTTATTCAATAAATTTACTCTTCAGTCTTTCAAGATATTTTTGCGTTTAATTTGGTAAATGTATCTGTTAAAATGAGATATCAGTGTTATTTTAATTTTGCGTAATTTAGACGACAGCATATCCTTCGCATCCTATATATATATATATATATATATATATATATATATATATATATATATATGTGTGTGTGTGTGTGTGTGTATATGTATGTGTGTGTACTTTCTGCATTCTGTTGAGGTTTCTTCTAGACTCGATGAATTAATTAATTATAATTATCTCAAATCCTCCTAATTTCTATCACTTGTATATCCTTGCTTGAACCGGCTTCTAATGCTCTGGATGGAGCGGCTTGGGGATAGTAGTCGTGGCTCTCGGTGGTGGCGCAGTCCTATGTGTAAAAGTGAAACTCAGATGAGTTCCACCACGGAATATGTGATCGAGCGGCGCAAAATCGAGTCTGATTCGCCACCTCTTCGTCACCGAGGCCGTTTGGTACAGTTGGTATGACGTTTGCCTGATAACGTAACTGTCCGGGTTTCAATTCTCGGTAGTGGATGCGCACTGCTGATGAGTCCCATTATAGGACGAAACGGCCGTCCAGTGCTTTCTGCATTCTGTTGAGGTTTCTTTCAGACTCGATGAATTACTTAATTATGTATTGCTATCACTTATATATATATATATATATATATATATATATATATGAAGAGAGAAAAAAGTGCGAATAATGGTGACGTAATTGTTTGATGTTGAGTTCATTACATCCACTTACGTGCTAAAACTGTTGGGAAAGGTATGAATCCATATCTTCTCCCACTAACTATGGGTAAATAGCATGACAAGCGGGGTTCATTAGCCTTGGATGGCAGCGGATCTAGGACAAGAAACTGTGAATTAAAAAAAAAAAACACGATTTAGAGGGTTGGGAATTGTCAGGCTGTCTTGCAACACGGCAGCAAGTGTGATGAGGTTTACTGATAAATAAATATTTTGCTAAGCTGAATAAAAGAAATTTTGAACACTAATGGTCATAAAAAAACCTTAACTAAATAGTTTTCCATGTCTTTGAGTCTAACCTGTTCTTATTACATTTCTAATCATTTTCATCTTCGGCTTTGTGATGTCATTCGTACACTGTTATCACATATGTTTCTCATTATCTTTTTTTTTATAGATTCTTTTCTTTTGAGAATACGCAACTCTCAAATGAGATTGCTGCGTGTTCTACTGTATTAAATGAATTTTATTAATCAACCAAACAAAGTGAATTTGTTATATTCGTTTTCTTATTTCAATCAGATGATCGGTTATTTGAAGATGTTCTATTTTTGTGTAGCTTTGAATTTCAAATAGATGAGCCTTGATTACTAATCTTTCTAAGGAGAAAAAAATCAATCTGGGACATGTTTTTTTCCAATTACCATATAACACGGAACTGCGACAGCCTCTTTCATGCTTAAAGGCAATCTTCATGACCTGAAGATTTCACTCAAGCATGAATCCCCGCTCGGCATTGACTTCAGGATCAACTTTTATATTTACACGCGCTCTATCACTGACGTTGAGCACTTTTACCCATAAATATATCGTAACTTCGTATTTATCAATTTCAATAAAAAATGCCAGGCGTCAGATAACAAAAATCTTGACTACCATACTTAAAACACCCAGTTCTTGATAATGACTGTGTCTATCGAATGTCTTCTTCGATTTGCAGAACCCCTTCTCTTCTCGTTTATTATTTCCTATCCTCTGTAACAATTTAATATTTTTTTATCTCTCCTAAACACCGTTCTCCCATCCATTTGCACAAGCTCGATAAATGGGTTATACGTTTTTTATTTCCATTTAGCTACAGAGAAAGCGTCTGGTTAGCAAGGTCGAATTACTGCTTTTAAAAATTATAATCTGAGCATTTATTTAAATATTTGTATCCATAATAATAACGTATGAATAATGAGACAGAGAGAGAGAGAGACCGAGAGAGACAGAGACAGAGAGAGACACAGAGAGAGACAGCGAGAAAGAAAGAGAGGGGAATACTGAGAAGTTTTCGACACACAGTACAAATTTTGTCTTCAGGACATCTTTCTCGTCGGTTCGAAAATTCAACTCAACTACGCAAACGTTCAGCGTGGAAATATGTTGAAATACAGCGTTGCTCTATTTATTACGTAGATGACGATAAAGTATATATATATCTTTATCGATTTCTATGATTCTAAATTGTGTGCTGCGTAAGTCAATAATATATACAAATACAGACACATGGGCACAGACGGATACAGACACGAATTTATGTATACATACATACATACATATATATATATATATATATATATATATATATATATATATATATATATATATATATATTTGGTTGGATGTGAGTTTGTGACCCTGGTTTTCACACTTTTGCGATCGTCAGACAAACTGATTAATTTTTAAAATTTTTGGTTTATGTAGATTGCGTGTATTGCAACCAAATATGTTAGCTTTATCTCTGATATTGATCGCTTTCTAATAAGTACCGCGCATATAATATATATATATATATATATATATATATATATATATATATATATATATGTATGTATATTGATATTTATATACACACACTTCACACACACACATATATATATATATATATATATATATATATATATATATATGTGACGGTTACACACCTGGCCCAGGGTCGAATCCTTTGGTTACGGCGCCAACTGTGACGTCGCTCCTCCTGGTCGCTCCTCCTGGTTCCAAGCGTGCCGCTCCACCCCTTGGTTAGATGATCACCAGCCTCGCCTTTCCCAACTCGCTTCCAATACCTGGTTACTGAAGCAACTGTACTGATCTCCGGTCTGTCTACCCACGCTGTGTTTAGATCTTAGACAGACGGGACCAGCAGGGATTGGGGCCGATACAAGTTGAGTCCGACGGGGTGGCAAAACACAAGTAAAAAAAAAAAAAAAACTCACGAGACAAAAATTACTGAAAAAAAAAAAGGGTGACAACCTTTTATATCTAATGTCCGTTACATAAAGAAAAATTGTTCTTATTTCCCGACCCGCTCTGTGGACTATGGCACCAAGCTTCTATCACACAACCTAAAGATTTCGAATTGCCTACTCTTTAGAATTGTGTATGTCGGAGTGTGGTTTAGTTCGACACTGGGGCTAATTTCTATCGATCATTCGCAGTTGATTCTTCTCTTCGACTTGAGTTGTATTTCTTCTTCTTCGTCGACTTAGATAGAACTTCTCTTGTCTTCGACTTGGGCTGGATCTCCTCTGCGGCTTTCGAGTAATCTTCTTCTTTGTCCACTTGGGCTGGAAGTTCTCTTGTCTTCGACTTGGGTGGAAGGATTTCTTGTTTCGACTTGGGTGGAAGGATTTCTTGCCGCAACTCAGCCGCTACTCTCTGTCGTCCGAGGTGATCTCTTCTCGCTGCCGTCCGGGGCTGAACTCATGTCTTAACTCTGCCACAACTCTTGGCGTCCTTCGAGCAATCTCCTTCTTCGTCTGCTTGGGCTGGAAGTTCTCTTGTCTTCGACTTTGGTGGAAGGATTTCTTGTCTGAGGATTCTTTTGCCCGCAAAGGGGCGAGTGAATCGGGCCTGATGCCCGCGTTCAGGCTCTATCCCCTGCCCGCGGTCCAGCTGCAACTCATTTCTGTCGACTGGGGTCCTGCTTTTATTGACGCCGCAACAAACCGGGGTGGGTTTGTCGGTGTCAGGGGTTTCTCGATAATTCCAATAGCCGCATTATTTCTGTCTTCTCATTATCGCTATTGTTTTCACCCCTACTTCCTCACAGTGCCTTTGGTGGGGAGGCGCACACCCATCTTTCCCGGTCCCTCGTATGTCAGGTGAACGCTCTCGACCAATGATTCCTGATCGAGCATTTCTCCTCCTCTCTCCCGTATGCCACGTGACCGTTTCCGACCAATTGTTATTGATCGAGCATCCTTTCTCCTCTTTTCGGGCGTGGTTTACATCGTTCTTGTTTTAAAAAACAAAATCCAATTTTGCCCTTTTCGCACGTACGAAAAAATGACAATCTTGGCTTTTTCTCACCTGGGCTCTGTCAAAACAGCCTGCCGCTAATTAGATGTGACTTCAGGAAAGAATATTGGCGCCATCTGTGAGCTGAGACAATCGTTTTTCACCTCTTGTTTTTTGTCAGACCCGACAGTCAGAAAATCTTAATTATCTACATTGAAAATGTCCCCACTTTATTATCGTGGGTTTCCAATTCTTAATAGGTCAGAATCTGTATACAGTTCCACCGGTCCTCCCCTCAACCCAAAAGACACTTTTTCTCCGATTAAAAAATTTCGTTTCTATTGTTCTAAAAAGAAATTCCCCTTTCTCCAATTTGACAATGAGTCTTTCCACGCAAAAGTAGGCTAGGTGCTTTGACCGATATTCTTATCAATCCCAATACACTGTCATCAAGCCTGGTTCTTTTTCTCCCTCTAAATGATTTTTCATTTCAAATAACAATTCTCTATTGTCTTTTAAAATTCGGCCAACACGCAGGCCAAGATATCTTTCTGACACCTATCTTCGCTTATGACCGGGTCATGCATCATCCATCTCTCTTTCCTTTTTTTTTTTCCTTTCTTCCTCTTTTCTTTCCCCTTCCTTCTTCTTTCCTTAGGATCGTCTAAGTACAACTTAGTGAATTATTTTCAACTCAATTATTTTCCGTTTAAAAAAAAATCAACAACCTGTTTAGTAAACCGAGTAAAAAAAATTAAATCATATTTCTATGAATATTTCTAATAATGCAAGGTGCCACATATATATCTTTAGTTTGATTGATATTACGTCTATGATTGATATCGAGCATTTTCCAATAAGTACCGCGCATATACAATATATAAATAATACATATAAAAATTGCATATGCATATATATATATATATATATATATGTGTGTGTGTGTGTGTACATATATATATGTGTGTACATACACACTCAGACACACACACCCACATATATATATATATATATCATTGGCAAAACTATAAATAAATTTTATTTTATTATGTGGATTTATTAGTGCACATTCATGCATGTAAGCAGGCTAATAATAATAGAAAATGTTTGAAAATATTAGTTAAAACAAGCAAAACAAACAGCGAATTTATAAAATTAAAAATATTAGTTAAATTATGACAACGAATTTAAAAATATTTAAACAAATTTAATATATTTAATTCTTTTCAATTTTTATTATTAAAACGTAAGCTTATGAAAATTAAAATTTTAGTAATAAACTGAAGTTTTTATCAAAATTAATTCCATAAAAAATTGAAAAAGAAACCGTTTAAAAACAAGTATAATCGCAATTCTATCGACATGAAGACGGCAAAACGGTGTGATATCTAATCCACATCATGTCCGCTTATTTCTGCGCATGCCTATTTGCTTAGTGAAATTTATGTTTCCTCAAAACCCACAGAGCTAACCAGCAGTTTATAAAAAATGGTAAAAAAATAATAAATAATCAGTGTACTTTTGATATTAGTGCTGTACGTTCTCTCCGAATTTAGAAACCATTCTCTAAATTTCATGCAGGAAAACTAGAATTAGAAGTTCATCCCCACAAAACTAGGGCATATCATGCATTAATGTACTATTGAAACAAAAAGGTAAGCCTCTCCCAAGACTCACATGCATACAGAGATATCTTAACTGGATCTATTATGGTAAAGGTACTAATGAACATTGTCTTTAGGCTTTCAACGTTCAATGAAAATCACCTCTTCAAGACCCAGTTTGATATTATTTCGGGTAAGGGGAATAAATAAATGTCATCAAACAACTCTGGGGTATTGCTTACGTTTCCAATAGAAAAAAAAATTATAGTTGCTATATAGACCTCAGAGCAGAATATCTTCTTCTCATCCAAATATAGACCTCAGAGCAGAATATAAATAGAGACATCCTCTTCTCATCCAAAAATAACAGGGGAGATCCATAAGGTAAACTATTGGATTAAATGCTCTTACTAATTAATCAACAATTGGAAAAAAAATCAATGGCCCGGACCCAACATGTTACTCACATTACAGTTGCATTCTATTCACGCTTGCGGCGTTTCATTCGTTTTGCCACGTTGTTTACCAACAGAACTGTTTTTGTTTTTTTGAAGACACGTGACATTTGTAAAATAGTCTTTTTTATATATTTTTATCGTTGATTGGTTGTTTGATTTTGTTTAGCGGCATATCAAAACCTCTGTGGGTCATTTAATTCTGTGGGTTAATAAATGTTGAACTCTAACGTTTGAACAGAAATTTATATCATGCACTACAGATAAAATGCATTTTTGGTATAAAAATGTATTGCTTGTAATATTTTTATACAAAAATTAATTGCTACTATTTTTGACCATAAATATCTATTTTTATGCATTCATAATTTTGTTTGAGAGGGATTCACTATTTACACATAGCTGGGACCCTAGCAAGTGCTACCACTCCAGGTGGAGGTGGACCTGTGAAGAAAAGTGGTTTCACCCTCCAGCATACCTCCAATCTGCTTCCGGATGTAGTTTATCGCTATACCCAGGACAATATATTTTTGTACATGTATGCATTTTAAAGCATAACTTGAAGAAAACAGACGTACTATTGAAATAGTGTTAAGATTTGTTTGCTGCTTTGAACGTTATCTAGTCGGTAGGTCTAGAAGAGTATGTAGCAAATGAGATGAAATTGATGCTTGAAAATCAAGACTTTTTAAAAAGATATATCAGATTTCATTAGACAGCTAGTAAATGTTACATTATTTACATTATTCGGACTATTGTCCTCATCATTGTCGCCTTATTTATTACAACGTTTCGGCCGTTATACGCTCCGGCCTTCTTCAGGTGGTTGGAATGTCGAAGTGAACCATTTATTTCGCTCACTGGGGTAGACTGTTCTAGTTCCAACGGCCATGTTAAATGGATGTCAGTTATCAGTTATCTCCTGTTAATTCCCCTCTGAAAGTTCTCCACTGCCTTAACCAGGTATTGAACTCATAATCT